AGAGAGAGAGAGAGAGAGAGAGAGAGAGAGAGAGAGAGAGAGAGAGAGAGAGAGAGAGCCTTGCCTTGTCTGATCACGACCTTGCCTTGTCTGATCACAACTGCTCTCGCCTTTTTGGCATCTGACCATCTGATCACGACCTTGCCTTGTCTGATCACAACTGCTCTCGCCTTTTTGGCATCTGACCTTCAGTCCGTCCGCACAGCATGTTTGTGCTCTATCTCCCTTTGTCCCTCCTCCCTCTGCACTTGATCTCCCTTTGCCCCTTCTCCCTCTGCACTGCCATTTTCCCAAACGAGTTCGTCCTCCTGCACTCCCCCACAGTCATCCTCCTCTTCCTCGTTCTCCATATATGAGCAGAACAGTCTTCGTCAATCATGAACCCCTTCTTTGACATCTGACTTTTTGTCTTCTAATTGCCCCAAACAGCACATCCACTCCTTCTCCCCCTAATCCGTCCACCTTCCTGTCGTCTTGACAAGTGCTTTTCCACAAACTCTTCGTCCTCGTCCTGCTACACTCTTGCGCAATCGTCCTCCTCTTCCTCCTCCTCCATGCCGCACAGCAAAGCGACCTTTGTCAATCAAAAATCCCTTCTTCGTCTTCTGACCTTCAGCTGCTCCAAACAATCCCTATTATCACGAGTGTATTTGGTCAGGATGGAGCCCGCATACATTCGCGTCTGCACCCGCTCTCCCATTCACCCCTCACGATCCTCCTCCTCTTCCCCTGCGCCATGCCTCAACCACGCTATCCTCGTCAATCATCAATTCTCATTCTATCTAGTACCATCACCCATCTATCTCCTCTCTTTCTATGCTTTAATGCCAAATTACACTCATCTTCCCCATACCCCCCTCCCCGCCTCCCCCCCCCTGCCCTCCCTCCCCATGAATGTGTGTAGGCTCCATCGTGGCCAAATGAAGTCATGATAATAGGGAGATATGTTGCATACTCGTGAATACTTCAACAAGTATGGGCAGAACCCAGGATCAACCAATAAGGGTGAGCATGCATGCAGCGGAAGTCTGAGAAATGGACTGACTCACATAGACTGAACTCATACAGATATCACTCAACACACAAACAATCATGAGATGGTGGGGTCTGAGCCAATCATAGAAGGTGGGAGATGTAGGCAGCGCCAGATGTCACCGAGATAGATAGAATCCAGTAGGTCACCGATATGGTAGTCCAAAATGTCATCGAACAAGATCAAAATGTCGTGGACAATAAGTCACCAATGTCGGAGGTACAGAGTCCTAATGTAACCGGTGTCCAATCTGTGATGCCGTCGAGTATCAATCCCAACAATCTCCAAGTCTCGAATCCGGTAAGTATCACAGCCTCTTACCACCGAAATCCCAACACTGATCTCTGTCCAACTCGTAGCTAAGTCTCCAGTCTGAGTAAGAAGAAAATGAAGAATGAGGCTGAAGAAGAAGAAGAAGAAGAAGAGTCTGAAGAAGAGTCTGAAGACGAAGAAGAAGAAGGAGAGGAAGAGGAGGTAGCAGAGGAGGAGCGAGAGATGGTGAGGTAGGAAGGAGGAAGAGTCCTCACTACCCTGTCCTGGTCCGAAGCGTTACCTGCAGGATGCAAGGTGGCGCCTTGAATAGAAGTCTTCTGCAGTCGAAGTCCTCTGAAGCTATGGCGCCACTGGTAAGTGCCAGGTAAGTACCTCGCTCGCTCTCTATCCCGAACTGCAGTCTAGCGCTAACCTTGCGCTGCTGCTGTAGCGCTGCGCTCTAAACAGAAATAGCGCAGAGCTCCTCCGAAATGCTGCTGCTCCAGAATGCCTGGGAAGGCGACCTCCTGGTACCTAAGTACCGGTGTGGAAGGCCGGCCTCTATGCTGCGAGGCCGAGCCGTGATCTGAATCGTCAAAATTGACGATTCAGATCAGACCGGCGGGCGGCAGCCTCAAGAGCGCCGCCAGGCCCAACGGTAATGTCGTTTGGGCCTGCCCGTCTGGTCTGGTCCTAATTGTGGCCTAAAGGCCAACCGGTGGGCCTACAGTGGCGCCTCCGGTCTAAAGGTCCGGCCTTGGGCCTGGACCGGCCTCCAAACCCCTATCTGTCGGGCCTAACCGGGCCCGTGTGACACAGTGTGTAACAGATACGTTCAGGCGAGTGGGGTAGTAGAAATAGCCTTCCCTGTTTCTTCTTGACGAAATGAAAGTCAAGGAGCTATTGGGTTACCCCTGGAATGTACCCCTGAAATCGTCATTATCCCTGGAATACCCCTGAAATCGTTGTTACCCCTAGGAAGTACCCCAGAAATCGTCCTATGGCCGGTGAGCCACCACTATTTTGTTATGAACTTGGTTGCCTGACAATTTTCTCGCCACTCACACACAAAGTATCTCACACATGCCCATACGTGCACAAGACAAAGGGGAGGAGAGACAGAGTCCAAACTGTACACAGACCAGAGATAAGCAGCGGAATAGCAACCACGCACGGATGGGGAGAACACACACAGTGTTTCTCTCTCTCTGACGAACTCCCAACAACCAATCACAAGATGACACTGCGAAGATCACAATCGGAATATAACACTGATGATGAGCCAACTCGACGCAATTAACCCCAATTATCGTTACAGAGTTCAACCCAGTGTCTCGCCACCTCAGAACCACACACTCCACCCACAACTCTACCCTCAGAGTCCAGCGCTACACTGAAACAGCCTCCCAGAGGCCAGCGCCATCCACCAAGATGAAGATCATGAACTGCGATGTAGTCCTCAGTGCCGATGAGTCACTCTGACGACGAAGAAGGCAGCTATGGCTGCCGAGCTGCTACCGTGGCAGCAGCGCCCACATATACCCAACGAAGAGCCTCAGTATAGCCCTGCCTGACGCAGATACCCCCAGAGGGTAGATGCGCTGAGACGGGCCCCAGCTATGGCCGTCCCTCAGAGGCTGGCTATGGCTGCCTCCCGTGGCTGAAGTCTCAGGTGCCGCTGTAGACTTTCAGCGCTGCAACACTTGGTTGGCCACCAACGCGGTAACGCGAAAATGAAATGCCAAAAGCCCTGAATCGATGGGCCTAACCTATCTATAGACTCTCTAGACCTAGACCGGACTGACTGACCGACCGGTACCGTTGCTGTTTCGGCCTCTCGGCCTCTACCGGACCCGGCTATACGCTATAGGACCGTCTAGCAGTATAGGCCGCTTAGGGCCTGTCTGTCCTAGGGGTAGCCCGGGCCTGCTATAGGCAGTTAGGGTAGCTGTAGGAATTCGGTTAGTACCGGGCCTGTATTTTCCCAGATTTGCAGATCTGTCCCTCACGAATTTCCTTACAGGCAGGTCTCTCGGTTAGCCCTCAGCCA